GAGAGAGAGAGAGAAAGAGAGAGACAAGGAACAAGAATGAAGATGCAAGTAGGAAGAGGTAAAGAAGGTAAAGAAAATGATCTAACTGTTATACCGACTTAATAACTCGGACGTGTTTAAACGTGGCTTCGTAATGATGGGTTGGCGCGATTGCGCGACACAAACTGGATAAAAGTGGCCCTTATTGTTTATCCGAGTAATTATAATCTTAATGAACGAATAATGGTAACGGTGCATGGGGATACCGACGAATGGAATGCTCGCAAAAACAGGCTAGAACGGCTTGTCCGAGCGCTCGGAACCTATTACATTAAACCTCTACTCGTACGAGGTTAACCTCGTGTCAATTGCGACTGATCTATTAAATCATAAGTGCCTCGCCTTCGTTAATTACCTCGGTCGAGGTCGACGATCAAAGCAACTGTTTTCGTGTTCTTTCGCGTGTCAATAATTTCAGTTATGTTTTAATTATCGAGTTTCGATAAATTCTAGATAAATTTTAAAATTACGCGACTTGTACACTGCTTGCTAATTGGATTAAATTAATTGTCGGATAGAAATTGTAACGTGGAACGGAAAAAAAGAAGGAAAAATGTAAGGAAACCTAACCTAAATTGATTCGATCTAATTTAACCACAATTATTCGAATATCACGAAACTTCGATCTCTCGTAAATTGCGACGCAAAAATACCAGACGGATTATCGTTAATTTCGATATACTTTCGTGTAATAAGAGTCGCATCGTAAATCATGCATAATCAATTCGAGACGATTCGAGAAGATTAGCGAGCTATCTCGTGACGTTGAAAACATCGAACTACGATGTTCTTCTTTCCTTTCACATTTCGCGCATGCGCACTCGATACATTTGTAAATTTTTCGATCTACGATTACGCGTTTCGAATTTTTTCCACCGCTTTTCCTTTTTTTTTTTTTTTTCTTCCTCTGCACTTTTCATTTGTTATAAATCGACCAGTGTGGAGAGCTTAAATACCGCAAAGGTTCGAACTTTAACGATAAAATTGCTACGCTTGTTCGTCCTCGATCGGCCTCGTGTCGACGAAATAAACGGCAGGTCGCCGTTTAAATCATCGAGTGGAAAGAAATGGATGTATTAAGGGATGGTAAAAAAGGGGCATAATTGCAAATTTTATCCAGGCTGATATAGTGGAAGATTATAGTCCCCGGGTATAGTTAATCTCGGCCTAATCAGGCTATTACTATCATTACGCTCCATTTCGATCTTGAGAGTAAAAACCGTTTAAAATGGAAAAATGTATTAACGATCCGTCCAAAGTTCTCTTAACCAAGGAAATGATATCGATCGCGTGTTAGAATAAATTACTTTTCTTGTTCCGTGTTGAAAATCTCTGCTCCTTTGAATCCCAGCCACTTACTTAATCAGCTTCCAACAACGTGGAGAAGTCTCTGCTTCCGTTCTGAAAACTTTTCACGCACGTTCTTGAATCCAAATATATTATATACAAAAATTTCCTACCGATTCGACGTTTAATAGTATAATAATAATTACAATTATAATAATTACATTACCTCGAACAGAGTATCGCTTTTTCCAGAAAAAAAAAAGTAAAGTTTTAAAACTTTATTTGTCCATCGATATAATAAACGTTTCCAAGATCACGGTAGATTATCAACCATCGACTCCCCCCCTCGAGTTTTTGTCGAAAATCCTTTTCCAATCGCGGAAGCACGGCGAACAGAAAAGAAGGATATTGCGGGTGATAAAAACTCGGGAGGAAGCGGATAGAGAACGATGGAGATAAAAGATATAAGGAAACGGAGAGGATAAAAGTGTGGAGTGAAGGCATAAAATGGCCTCTCGGTTCTCGAACTTGTCGAGTAATGTATTTCTATTTGCCGCGACCCTTTATTTATCCGTGGACCCATGCGAGAGCCAACAAATCAAAATCGACAAAGGGAAACTTCGCTCGTGGCCGAGGACGTGAAGAGTGAAGAGTGGCCCGAAGAAGAAACATTTGTACGAGTAAATCAACCTGAGGTACGTGCTTCCTGAACAATGGATACCTTGTCGGTGGAGGAGAGAGGGAGGGGGAGGAGTGAGGGGAATTCCGGCCTGTTATTTTTGATCGAAGACGGGAAAAATGGAAATTGGGATTCGCTAGGAGAGAATGGAATTTTTTACTCTCTTTCTCGATTATTTTGAGAAAAAGTTTTGTCCATGTAATCGAAATGAGACGACATGGAGTGGTTTTATTCTTTGGCTTCTATTCTACGATATTCGATAAATTTTATATCAAAAAGATAAATTGAACGACAAATGTAAATGCTATCTGCTTTCGTTAATTTCAATCTAAAGTCGGTGTAAAAGTTAAAAAGAACAATTTCGACACTTTATTATAGACAATCTTCAAAATTCAAAATTAATCTTTATCCATATCTTGTTAACTATCAAAATCATTCGTGCACCAGAAGTTGAAAATAAGATCAAACATGTATAAAAATGACAAAAATCGATTCTTATTAACCATCCAAAACCATCAATCAATCTCAATCTAAGATCCGCCATTTTGTAAAGACAAATACAATTTTTCCTCGCAAAACGATAGGGCAACGAACATTTAAGAAAAACGTCAGAATTCTTTTTAACCGTTGATCAATCTCTCTCTCTCTCCCGATCTAAGATCCGCCATTTTGCAAAACTTAGAAAAAAAAAGGAAGCCACAATTCGCAAAACGATATAACGCATCAAACAATAAAAAAAAGTCAATAAAAGTCGATTTTTATTAACCATTCAAAACCATTCATCTCAATCTAAGATCCACCATTTTGCAAAGATTAAAAAAAATAGATACAATTTTTCCTCGCAAATCGATAGGGCAACGAACATTTAAAAAAACGACAGAATTCTTATCGATCAATCTCTCTCTCTAAGATCCACCATTTTGCAAAAGTTAAAAAAAAAAAGGAACCACAATTTAAAACAACGTAAAAAAATCGATTCTTATTAACCA